TTTTTTATTTTAATTTATCGTATATTGACTACTACAATTGTTTTGACTCAACTGGAGCGAAAGGATTTCCTTAAAATTTTCGTAAGTCTCACATAAATTTCTCCGCGTATATAATAAAAAAAAAAAATAATAGATGTCACTGTACGTTAATTCCTTAGTCCCAGTTCTAGTGTTCTCAGTTCCCCACAATTCGTTCCTTATCTAGTTATCTGTCGCTCAGTCTAGGCCCCCACTACATTTGTCCACCGCTACTGTACTTCAAGCCACTCATACACTTATTCATATCTGTGTATTTTTCATACACTAATAAATAAAAAAAAAATCTCAAAAAACATATTGACATTTCGCTTTGAGTGTTTGTATGTGTATATGTCAATGTACGAATAATTCATGTCATAATTCTTAAATACACGAACCTGCAAGTAGCCATTTTGATTAACTGGTAGGTTAAGAAATAGTTGTCAGTACTAAATATGGGTCGCAACTTTTCAATTGTTGCTGAAGTTACAATAACAATCATCTAATAATTGTTGACACTCAAGATATTTATTGCGGTTAAACAATAATGATAGCGAATATTGTTACTATTAAATAAATAGTACTAAATATTTCGAAAGACAACGAAACTAATAACAATAATAATTGTTATATCAATAAATATTGAAGGATGGATGAATCAAGTCTCCGGAAACTTACTTATAAACAATTGCAATCTTTAGCTGCCAAGTATAATGTACCTGGTAATATTAAGGTAATTATATATGATTATTAATTAGTAAGTTAGTTGGTGAATATTTTTTAAGGTTAGAAAAATTTGTATACAAAAATTAACAGACATCCAAATAATTTTTATGTTGAAAATATTTTATTATTGTAGCAGTATTAATTACTTGACAATTTTTCAAAAATTTATAAACAATTTTTTATATAAAAAAAAAAAAAATTGTGACAGCAAAATTACCAAGCAGCTGACAATTTTTGATTTCGTTTTTAAACAAACTGTCATGATGAAAACTTCAAAAAATTGCACATAAGAGAGATATAAAAACAATTAATGCCATTTTTTATATTCATTTAAATTAAAAAATCAAAAGTTTTCAGATATCTTCTGAATTCACTTACAGAAATTTCATGACACTGAATCATCATAATGATGTTGAAATTGTCAGACATCTGATAATTCCTGGCATTTTTATAACCAGTCAATTATTAGAAAAAGAAATGTTTTCAAAAACTCACACTTATTTGACTTGATTTATTAAAATTTCTACATCTATAATTTTTTGCTACATTTTTTTCATTATAATTTAATTGTTAAAAAAATCTAAAAAATTGTTAAATCTGTTGAATTCAGTATCATGATACCTAATTTATTGCAGACATCTGACAATTTTTTCTAAAAACCAATTCTTATAAAGAGAATTTCCTAAAAAATTGAGTGTTATTATTTGAAACAAATTTATAAACAATTCAATTGTTACGACAAAAATAATATAAAAATAATTTATGGATTTTTAATTTTTAGACAAAAATTAAATAATTGTATAGCTTCAAAACTTGTACAGAAAAAACAAATAATTTTGAAGTGAAAGTAATCTGCATAATTTTTTATGTAATATGAAAAATAATCAGAAATTGAATAATGAAAGTGCCATTTGGCAGCTGAAATGGAAGTAGATTTCCAACAAAAATAAAATCACAATGACAATTTAAATACTTCAATCACATATATAGAATACCTTTTTCCTAAGTTACGAAGAGCTTGTATTATCCTTGAAACGAATGGAATTTCAGGACTATGTTCTCACTAGGAGAATGAAATTACATGGAAAGTACAGCTCGCTTAATGGACTTTGAAATGCAATTTACAGAAATTTGATTAGTTATTTCATTCAAAAGTTATCCGTGAAAGTATGTGTCGAAATATGAATTTTTACGATTTTAAAAATTTTGAAATCCTCTCATTTCTGAACTACTGGACTGATCAAGCTCATTTTTGAACTTGACTTGTGTATTTTCCTTTAGAATAAGTATGTTAAGTTTGAAAAAGATCCCTAATATCTATGTCATAAAAAAAAACATATGTGCAATTTTTGAACACACTTTTTTTCATAATTTATAGTTTAAACAAATTGAATAATTAAGTATCAAATGTCAGATAATTTTAGTATTATTGAAAAAATTTTCTGCAACCATTCACACTATTTATTTTTTTTAATTATTCATTAAAAAAAAAAAAAATGATGCTCAAGCAGAAAAAAATTATCAATGTCGATTTTTTGAGTATTTAATTTATTTGCTTGTTGAAAACATTTCAACTTCAAATAACTAAAAAATGATTTTTTTTTTTTTTTTTTTTTTTTTTTTTTTTTAATCAAATAAAATATTTTTAATTTCTTATGCAAAAATTTGTACATCTCTACATGAACGGATTTTCAATTTTATTTTTTATTTTTGTCAGAACAAAATGTTAATGACTTTAACATCCAATAATTTAAAAAGATATAGTTGATTATTGATCACCAAAATCAGTACAATGTTTTTTTTTTTTTCAATAAATATATTAAATTTTACAAGGTAATAAAAAAATGCACAAAAATAAATTTCTAAAATTTTTTCTTAAACTTATCATTTTACTAGAATTGTTGGTGAATTTAAAAACAAATCTTTCAACGTAGCTGACATATATAAATGTTAAAATTCTTAGATAAATCAATACAATGTTAATAAAATTAAATAATAAAAAGGCACTGCTTAACAAATTGATATTCTACTGACTTAGTTTCTGACTTAATAATAGTAATTGGTGTTACAATTAAATAATTATTATGTCTGAGTTCTTAATTTTATAAAAGGTAAAGACATCAATTATTGACAGGGGTCATCAAGTATACACTATTTTATTCTATGATTTATTTAATAATCTACGATATTGATAACAATTATTAAATTTCTGATGCAATCTTTATGATTCAAAGAGTTAAAAAAATTAATAATTGTAGAAAATTTCAAATATTTATTAATAAAATATTTATGAGCGATAAATTCTTGAACTATTACGACTGTTATGGTTAGACAACCGCTTGAGTAAAAAACTTATTTTGAATTGTTTTTATTTCATTTATTCATATTCTATTTGCTCATAAATAGATCAAATATAAAAAATTATCAATATTAGATATTTAAAGTTAATTTAATAGTTATTAATTATAAAGTAATGAATATCCATAATTGGTAATTAAAATTTAAGCTGCGTCATTTTGACAGTAAATTCAAAAAGCTCATTAACTTTTCATTATTTTTATTTTAAAAACAAAAATATTAAAAACAATTTGAATAATAAGAAGTAAATAAATAATAATTTTTAATACTTGAGTTGTATTTAGTACTCGGTAAATGAATGAATCTTGGATATTATTGTCCACCAATAATCGATACAATCGTATGTCATTAATTAGATCAGTTGATTATGTCAGGCTGTCAATAATTGGCGTATATGGGTGATTCTCTTTATCAGTAGAAATTAATAATTAAATTTGAGGAAGTACTATTGAAAAACACGAATTTTATATTCAAAAGACTAATTAGTACAAAATTGAAAAAAATTCATCTCAAGGAGATTCGATCGTTACTAATGTTGAATAAATTTTCCAAGCTTAAGCTTTGAAACTTGGTATGCATATAAATTAGTAGTTTATTGATGTATTGTTAAAATTGAAAAATGATCCACCATTTAGTTTTTTAGAAAAGAAGTATTAAAAATGGAAATTTTTAAAGCCTTATACACGGACTTTTATAGTTAACATACTTTCGTCCAATCTTCTTTCATTTTTTTTCCATATTAACTTCTTAACTTCAAGAAATAAAAAACTATATGCGATACACTTGAATCAATTTAAAACATGATAACATTCAAACAATACACCGTTATCGATGTAGTTATATAAATAATTAAAGTTGAATTTTAATTTTCATCTTATTTTTCGATAGCATTTCACATTACTGATGATTTGCCAACGACGTGAGAACAAATGAGAAAACAAAAGTAAAACTTAGTTAAAATTAAGTAAATAAAAATTATCGATTACTAAGCTTATTATATGATTATAAATTAAACAATGAATTTTAATGAGTATTACAATAATTGAAAATACAGAAAAATTCAAACACTATTTTGACTCATTAGTAACGATCGAACCTCCTTAATTCTGAATATTAAAAAGAAATGTTATAACAATATCTCTTAACAACAATTTATACAAGCTTTAGAATTTTTTCCAAATTTAGTAAGCTTTTTCCAATGTTATGCTCCACTTTAATTGAAAACTTATGTTTTTAGATTCTTGTACATTTATTTTGATAATCATTATTTGTAATTATTAATTTAATAAAAATCTTCAGAACTTAATTCAGAAAATATGAAAAATTGAAGTAAAATTTACAAATTTCTTCTTTTTTTGTTCATTATTTTCTTCGCCTGGCTCGTTTTTGTCCGTTTCAAGATCGGCTTGAACTCGTTCCAATGCTAGAAATGTCTATACTTTATTTTAGTCATTCGTAAAAAAAAAAATATATATCACCATCTTACCTTTTCTAAGATCTATTTTGTCCATATCGTTATTATTAATCTTCGTCAATTCCTTTCCAAAACTTTTGGTAATTCTTTTACGGACATAATCAGCTTCAATATTCTGCTTGGTTCTTGGCACGCGAAATTTTACACAACAACAAAGAAGAATAATCATCATCAAAAGTATTGATAAAATGATACCAGCTAGTTGCCAAGCTTTGAGACCGGCAAAAATTGTTTTTTCTAGCCACTGTATTTCGATATCCGTAGAATTATCTAATTGCACTGATTTTTGTTCAGGAGAACATGGTATGAGCGAAGATGAAGTTGCAGAAATTTCAGCTGGCATATCTATTGATGATATTATTTTTTTCTTACAGTTTATAGAAAATATTAATATCAAGCCTTAGCGCCAGCTCGAGTAAAACTGATAGATTTTTTTAAAATCTGTATTTCAGTAATGAAAAAATAAGGTGTGGTGGTCAATTAATCATTTACACTACACACCCTACTCATTTTCTGTTGTACGTTGAAGTGGTTTTTAAATCGATTAGAAGCACGTGATCATGAGACGCGACTGTATCTCGCGCCAAGTATTTGTTTGTACATGTGTTGCTCGTTATATTGCCGTGCTAAGTTCGAAGATAGTAACTGACATTTTAAAAAATGGATTTTAAACATTCTTTTATGAAATTAAAACATTTTTACCCTTTCATTAAGAAAAACAAGTAAAAATTTTAACTCTGTACACAGAAAAAAAAATTTTAACTCAAGAACAATATTCTTGACTTAAAAACTTTCATTGCAAGACAACCAAAATCTTGATTAGAGAATATTTTGTTCTTAACTATGAACAATTTGATTCTAAAGTTTCTAATAACTCAACAGAGTAAAAAAATTTATATTTTGCAACAAAAAACATCGATATTATGGAGTTGAATGTATTCTTCTTAAGCTGTGAATACCATTTCTTAATTTAAAATCAGAAAACCCTATAGTTTTTCACGGGAAAATTTTTTATCTTATTTTTAAAATAAATTACTTTTCAATGAATAAGTTATTTGCTTCATCAAATTCTGTAATATTAATTTAGGAAAATTTTTTGAACTAAAAATAATAAGCTTATTAATTTAAAAAAAAAATTTTGAAGACGATAATTTTCTTGGTTCAAGTATTTCTTTTCTGTGTACTTAATAATACTACACATATTTTAAAGATGAATATTTTAAAAATAATCTGTAATATTGCTTTGTTTCATTTGATATTCTTGTGGTAATGTACGATTTAAAGTATATTTCATTTTCATAATGTCTTCTATGTCTAGATTTTTTTTCTTTCACCAAATAAAAAGTGCCATAATAAACGCACAAGCTAACACGCCGAAAATTACTAAGTCACTAATTTTTATTTTAACTTAACCTACCTATTTACCATACATAAACAAAAGCGTATTATTAAATATCTGCTGACCATATACGATTATGAACAACGAATAAGAAAAGTTGATGATTTTATAAATGAACCTTTGTGTATTTGTTTGTTAATTCGGGCATTGTATAGAGTTGGTCACAATACCTGCAATGGATGTCTGAGAATTTCTTACAAATGACTCATTAAAACTAGTCGCTATATCTGAAATCGGCTTTACATCCGAAGTCGCTGTAGCCAAATTGTTTTCCACCATAAGTATATGTTAAATTCAAGGAACTTGAATGTTATATCGTTATAACCGATAAGTCTCTACGAACAAAGTCGTTGATGAAATCCACGATAAAACGAAACCAAGTGATTGATAGAAACATGGAAAAATTGAAAAATCATTAGCTATGGTCTGATTAAGGTAGTTGTCATGGTACAATTTTGTCAAAAAAGTAGAGATTATTTGCACCGCAAAAATATATGAGCTTGTAGCTAAGTAATCCATAATTTTTACGCAAAACTGTATTCGTGGAGACGTAACCTATACAGTATTCATATGTATGTATACACTTTTTCATAAATTGTTGAATTTTAATCCGTTATTTATAAATAATTAGACGGTCAAAATTAAAAAAAAATTTTTTTTTAAACTCACAACAAATACATTAAAAGACTGTCAGTTTTTTGAAAGTTTCTGACAGTTAGTTTTTTTTTTTTTTTATAACTAAGAAACTGGTACAGAACTGCAGAGAGCGTATGCAATCAATGTTAAATATCCAATTTTTAATTGAATTCATCTCGGGTTATAGGTAGTCAATCAACTTCAAATGTTAAGGGCAATTGTATCATCATGTCCTTAATAAGTACACAAAAATTTAGAATTTTCTGACGATATGCTTTAACCACAATAACTACATTAAGGTAACCATACTCAATATGAAGCGCCCTTTTTAAGTTGAGCCCTGTTCAGTTTGTAGATTTTAGTAAAATCAGGGGTCTTAACACAGTGCAAAAGCATCTTTCAGTTTTCCTCGTCATAATTGACCCGGTAGTGTTAAACGTCGCTATTGTAACAGGACATCGTAATCATCCCGCGCTTCGTCATAACTTGAAAAATTATTAGGTTTTTTTTTTCATTAGATTACATTGGTTTGGGTTGTGGGAATCTTTATAAACTGCCATTTAGGATTAGATTTTACACATGATAAACTGTTATTCTTAATAAATTAGAAACTCCAGAAACCCATGGGTTTATTAGATGTACTCTGATTCGAATTTTTACTAAAATCATTCCCACACTTTATTCCACAGAAAGATATAATGGTCAAAGTGATTCTTGCTGCTTACGACAACGACAACACCGAAGTTTGTCGCATCTTAAGCGGAATCCAGCATAACCGCAAAAAGCGCTTCAAACATCTGAAAGCCTTCAATGAAAACTCTATGGAGATTAGCGCTCACCTCCCTAACCTAAATCAAACTCGAGCAATGCAAGCATCCCCTATCTCTTGGGTAAGCAATCTTCATCTTTTATTTTCTTTATGAGATAATATTTCATATTTTCGACATATTTCTTCCAGGCAAGTCAAATCGAGCTGTCATCTGTAAAAACTCCAGTGCACCATTACCTGATTCAGCACTATCAGAACACTTTCTTGAACACTTTTCCCCCTCCAGCACCTTCACCATCACTCCTACTTCCCCCTTCTTCATTGTCTGCCCTTCTCCCATTGCCCCCTCCCATGAACTCACTAACGCCACCTATGGCCGACTCATGGCTGCCACAAGCGCCTATAATGGATCTGCGTATTGACCAATCCCAAGAGCTTCTTCCGCTGGATCTTCAACACAAGACGGTATTAATAACACATACCCAGACTTCGCAATATCCTGCCACGAACCAAGAGCGTTCCGTGCTTAAGCAGCTGCTTCAACCAATCCAGAATATCAACAACAAAGAAGTTTACGACTCCGACACCATGACCGCTATAACCGATAGTAATGACGATATTTCTTCCGACGACAACGTGTACCCTAACTCTTGCGAACCCCCTCCGTATACTTCTCCCGTTTATCCTTATCCTCAGACGGTTCCCGACTCCTCAAATCCAGCCCAGACGCAGTTAATATCAACCGATTTCTGGAACTACCAGTCAAGTGCACATCAAATAGAGTCGGAGTTGGAAATTACCACTTATGACTCCGCTAAGGATAATTTCAGCAATTACGAATGCATTTATCCGCAAAATGGCTACGATGAAGGTAGTAACTACGGCTCGCAGCAGGAAAGAAACCTTCCGATGTACCAGGACAATGAAAGCAGGCTGGATTACAATAATTACAATTACATTAATTATTTTAACATCCCTAATGATTACAGCTTCAACGAAAGCAACGAAAACATTCATTCGAATAACTATTCGGAAATGAATATCAGCGATGACATCAACTACAACGGGCACTACAAGACTAAGGACTGCTTGATTAACAATGCTAATATCAACGAGCCGCTAAAAGATTTGATGACTTGCTCCAACAAATGGTCATGCAGTAACCCTATGCAGGAAAGCGCTTCAGCGGCATCTGTTGAGTCCGTCGAGGGGCTGAGAGCGGAAGGTAGCGGCATCAACGGCCAGTTGGAGAGTATACTTAACATTCGCGATATCGGTGATATTAATAAGGTCAGTGAGAAAATCGGACAAACTTCTAGTGTTTATTGCTATGCAGAGCCAGTTACTTCTTCTGGTCGACAGAAGTCGGACAAGAAAAGGAACTTCAAGTTGATCGCAGAAACTAGGAACCATTTGTTTGGGATTAAGTACAAAGTTTATGATGATTCAACCACTGGTAGGGCTATGACCCAACTTGATTAACTATCAGTACGCTTATTTTGTTATGAATGCTAAAGTCTAAGACTTGAAGCATTCGAAGTTTTCATGGTGCATTGATGCAGGTTGTCTTGTACTGAAGTAGCATTAAGGTTAAATGCAGGTTTTTTTGAGGTTATTTTTTTTAATTGCGCAACTTTTCAAAATTCTTAAAGAATATATTTTTTAATTTGGTATTTCTTTTGTAGACATTAAGTTGAAAAAACATGGGGTCAACATTTTGTAATACATTTTCATAAATAAAGTAAAGATTATGAGACAATTTTTTGATTCAATTAAATTGCATACCTTTAGCGCAAGAGCGCAAAGGTTATACTCTGTTGTTGCCTAAAAATCAGGTTTCTTACTTGATAAAAATAAAAATTGTCGTATCAGACGGTCATAAAGTACACAAAAGCTCGCAAAATTCAAAAGTTCATGATTCATACCCTAATAGCAATTTGGTTCAAGTCTTGGGCAAGACTTGTTCAAGAATCGTGATGATTTGATGAAGTATCTGTGTACAGGCTTTTACAATTCTTGGACTAGAAACTTACGGCAGATCATTCTTGAATAGTCGAAGAATCGCTCCAGATATTTGACTAAGATTTTTGAACAAGACTGGAGCCTGAATTTGCCCAGAAAATGGTCAGAGATGCTGGGGTTCACCACCACCAATTTTTGAGACTCCCTTGTGAAAGTAGAAGTTTTCATTCTTATTTCAGTTCAATAAAAATGCGCGCTGTTGGTCTTCTTCGTTTCTCGCGCAAGTTTAGGTCAAAATTCTTTACCAAAAATCTGGAGGAATTCTGACTTGGATGCTTGTCACTAAACTTGACCAAGTATTACTCCAGATTCTGTTTTAAAATCTTGTTCAAGTCTGGAAAAATAATCTTGGGTAACTGTCTGGCTTAAGAACTGTCCGATTCTGTTTCAAGAGCTTTTTCAACTATCTGGTCGAAGAATCTTGTCCAAACCCAATATTACTAGGGTAATGATCATTTAGTTATGAAATATTAATAACATAAAAAGATGTGAAATACAAATATAAAACAACTTTACTAGGACGATAATGCGCAAGTGTCCCTAGTAGGAAAAATGGACATAGTATGTATAGACATGTAACCTTACTTGTAAATATTACATAGACATTTATCGATATTTACGGTCTTTTGGTTTCTTTTATTTTATTAATTGTAATTAAACGATACTGAGTTACATAGCCATTCGCGATAGGGGACCTACAATTCCTTCAAAGAATTTATTAAAAAAAATTTGACTCACTTGATTTTTTTGAAATTTTAAGTATACTTAAATCATAAGTATCTTCTATACGCAGGATTTTTTTAAATAGTCCTTGTGGCATTAAATTTTGAAAAATTAGCATTTAAAATTTGTATATTTTACATACAAACCCTATGCTGATCGACGTTCAAGCGAACGTTTTATTAAATATAAATCGCACTTTTCTTAGGATTGTTTTAAAAAACTGAGAATCAATAATTGAAGATATAACAAGTATTTTTTGTCCAAAATAACATAAACAAGGGGTATTCATTTTTTTATAAAAAATGTTTGAAGTTAGTGACTTTCGATATTTTACGTGAGTGGAAGTAAGTGAGCGATAGTCTCTAAAGAGAGGTTGCACTAGTGCGTGAGAAAGAAACCAATAGCCATAACCTATTGGTATATCTTTTTCTTGTCAAGGAACGTCCTTAATTTCATGAATTTTTTTTGCAAGTTAGTGTTTTCTGGTTTCATACTTGATATACGAGTAAATTTTTTTAACTATTTCAAAATTTTTTTTTCCGTTTCTATTGCATCAAATCAATTTTTCAAAAGTATAAAATTAATCTTCATTGAATTACCTTCACAGTAGTGTGCAAAAATAATTTGGTGATAAGAAAAATTCAATAAAAATCACGATGTTAAAGATATGATGGCCGAATTTATGAAAAATAACTTTGAATCGATCATTTGACGTGTTTATGTAAAATAAAAATGTTTAAATCGCTTATAGTGTGGATTTCTCATGTTCATATTTTTAAGCACTAAAACTAACGAAGAATTCAATATTTTCATCAAAGAGTTTTTGTCAAGAATTGTAGAGCTAATCTTATCTCAATACTGTTTTGTTTAATTATAATTTATTTCGGCTGTCAAATAATTTTTTCTGATCTATAATCAGTCATATTAATTTTTTATTTGTAATACAGGAGATTAAATGCAGTTAATTCTATACTCAACTGTTGAGTTGGTTCTTTCTTTAATTCACTGGTCAAAACACGGTAGGGCGCTCAACTTGCACAAAGATGAATACTTTCCGCAGAAAAATTTCAAACGAACTTTAAACTGTTGTAAATATATTTATCGCTTGTAATACCTAGTTATTAGAATTTTATTTGAAGATATTGAATTTTAATTTTCTCATATTTTTCATTCAAACTCTTGGTATACCTTTTTTTATTCATTCAACTGATTATTATTGTAATAAGTAATCGGTTAAGGAATTTACATTTGGATTTACTAAATTTTTAGCGAGAAAACGTATGTACATTACTTGGATTAACGAAATAAGTAGCAAGTAAATTTATAAGTTTGTAAATGAGACTATCAATCCATGCAATGTGCAATTAATATCACAACAAAGCTCACCGGCGGTATCTTGCGACTGAAATTTCTCTTTAACGTAATTAATTATTCTCACTGGAATAGATTTCCTGCGGACATTAAACAATACTTCACTGTCACGACACTGGGAGGTTCCCGGTTGCAGTTGAGAAGACGATACAGATACTGTTGATTTTCTTCTCGCTGACGTCACCTGCACGGAGTACATATTTTATTGATATAATGTTATTAAATTAAATTAAATTTTACGAGAGATGTAGCCTGTAAGCGGAATTATTCTTAACGACAGCTTCGAACGCCGCCTGAATGCAAACTGGAATATTTGAATTTTTTCCTCCCTCGAAAACTATAAAAGGTGAAAAAAGAAGAATTAAAATGAGAAGAAAAAAAAAGAATAAATCTAGGCAGAAAGATGATACATACATTCATGAATTTTACTCACACGCATACAAATCAGGGAACTCGTGTGGGTGGGTGGTGTAGAATCTTTTTATGTGCTTCACTTTAATGAGATACTTTAAACACGGTACTAATTACTCCAGTGGTTTACATAAGTCTCCCGACACTTTTAGCTCTGCGGTTTTAGTTTTAAATAGAATTTTTATAAATATTTTAAAACCTTTTTTTTTATTCTTAAAATCATTTTTTTTTTTTAATTACATGAATTATTTATGACCGTTTGAATATTTTTAACTTCCTTCGAAGAAAATTGAAAATTTTTATAAATTCGGGAAGTTTTTGTTTTTACCCCGTTTTTCGGAAATCGAGTTTTCATCAGATCTCGACGTTTTGAGGTCCTAGGAAGCTTCCCTGACTATTTCCTTGATGGTGTCTGTATGTTTGTAAGTATATTGGCCAGGTGCACGATGGTGCTGCCCTCATTTTTCATGCTTTTTCTGTGTTAAATCAAACGGAGTAATTTAGTTCCAGTGGTCGCCATTAGCGTTAAATCATGCTCTTCTCATAAGATTTACACGTAAAAGTGGTAGTCAGCGCCAGCCCTCCCCACCATATACTTCGCACCCTGCCAATAAAGTACGTATGTGTGTGTACACGGAAAAAAAATTGAAGGAATTTTTACTATTTCACTATCGTAATTTTTATTTAAATTAAATAGTAACGGTGGACTGTACTTCTCATTTAGTAATTTTTACGATCTACTATTGTAAATTTTATCCAACAAGCAAGGCTAGCAAGAAACTTAAAAAGTCGAATAATATAGAGCAAACTGTACAATATGTGTTTGTAAACTTTACAATTCAAGTATTGTAAAAATTGATAGTCGGTTTTTTTAAAAGAAATTTCAGGGAGGGAGAGAGATAGGAGGCTGGACTAATTGGTACCAATACAGTAACCGAAAAAAAAAAATCGGAATTTTCGTCCTATCCGGGAATCGAACCCAGAACTCTTTGTTGGCAGCCAGAGACTCTCCCTCTACGATATCCGAGGTAAACTAGTATCTATGTCCTTTAACATTTAGATAAACTCGGAGTCTAGCGCTGTGCACGGCCATCGCTCACACTAATTGACAGACATTCTAATTCAACTATTGTAAAATTTGTTATAGTTCTATTAGAAAGATACAGAGGCAGCACTGGAAATTTTAATTCTTACATTAAACAATAGTAATATCGTATTGTTTCTAATCGTAAATTGTAAAATTTCATGAATAAATAGTAAATTTTCTTCTAAAATATTGGAAAATTAGTAGTGATAAAAGTATAGTCCAGCTTTACAATAGTTGTATCGTAAATTTTCCTAGAAATTTTTTTCCGTGTATGTAAACCTCATAACTTTTTAACAGCTTGACCGATTTCATCGCGGTTGATGCCATTCGAAAGGGCTTGACTAAACTTGAATTTTGAATATAATTTAGGTCGATTCGGATCGGTAGATTTTGAAAAATCTAAAAAAAACTACGAAAAAAAAATTTTTTAAATGTGGTTTTTTTGGAATAACTTTTAAACGGCTTTACTGATCAATTCCAAAAACTAATCAGCTCTTAACATCAAAAAAACTACGGAGGTCGCCAAGCTGGTCAAAATCGGTCGATTCGTTCGTGAGTTATCGTTGACGAAAAATATCGAAAAAAAGTGATTTTTTCGAATTACACCGGAATTTTCGGTCTGATCAATTTGTGTTCAAAAGTATACTATAGAATTTAAGAAACTGCGTCGACTGCTGCCAACCGCGTGAAAATTGGTTAATTTATTCAGAAGTTATTGTTTGAAAATTCAAAAAATAGTGTTCTATTGAAATTCTATCAGACTTTCGATCAAAAGCATAAAAAAAAACTATTTTTTTGAGCTCGAATAGCTCAAAAACATCATAAGTGCAATTTTAAGCGCTTAGATATGGACTAAGCGGGAAGTTGCAGGGATGGCCTTTAGGGTCAACCGTTTTCTTAATTTTTTTTTTTTTATTGGAGATGAAATGAATTATCTAACCTTCTTGAAATTCAAATTGCGCACGTAAGCTTTTATCCTCCATCCATCAGGAATTAGGGTCCATTTCAATCATCAATTTTATATTATAGGATAGGATTGCGACATCAATGTAGCACGTTATTAAGAGTTCAAAAAACTTTGATACAAAAATACCAATTAATTTTATTTTACCGAAGGTTATTAAGGTAGTACCTCCGCGACAATCCAGATAAAAAATTTTGGCTCACTATCCATGTTATACGTATCGACAGAGCTAAGGTTGTAGGTTAAGATTTTTTAACGTTACTGTACTCGTCGACTACTATATTCTCTATACATATACACACACACTACGGTTTCAGTGACTAGCGGCTGTTTTTCGTACCCCCCCCCCTCCTAAAAATGATCCTCTAAAAGTGAAATTTATTTTAATTAATCTTAAAAACTACACGGTAAATAATTTTCGTTTTTTTTTTAATTGTTCGAAATGTCATATTCTTCAATCTACTAGTTTTTCGATAAAGTCGTGAAATTCTTTCGATGGAAAAAATTAAAAATACTGTGATTTTCCCATGCTTCTCCTATGTTACATGTACAAAAATGTCATTTTCAATTGCAATTATCTCAAGTTAGGTACGGTAAATCGTCTTCAAATTTTAACAGCATATGTATTATGTATGTAATGACTTATATTAGAAATTTCGAGGATTTCTTAAAATATTGCTTTCATAATGTACTACCTTAAGGACCAAAAATACATTTAAAGAATGCTTTAAACAATTTTTTCTAAATACAAATTAATCAAAGCATTACTGACTAAACTGTTGTGTTCAAGCTCTTCGAACGTTTTCGAAATAGAAACAAAATTCGTTCACGGAAAAAAACGTGCGGTAAATTTAACCATACTTGGAGTTGGATTCGATATACGTTAAAATCATCCGTAAACAAACTATAGCGTATATGGACATTGTTCTACATTAATGTGTTAAGTGCTATGGAAATCCTATGTACTTAATACACTATTGTATAACACAGTCCATACATACTTTAATCCATCCTGTAGTAAATTGTTACGTCTTAGCGTAATTTTTTTTAATTATTTATTTTAATCCAGATCATTCAAGATCTATAGATTGGGATCGGGAGTATTTTAGCTGGTTTAATTTCAAAAAAAAAAAATAATAAGACTTAGGTTACAGTTAATACATATATTGTAAAATAATAAAAAGAAAAGTAAATAAGTATACAATTAAGTACGGATTACAAAAGTTATTACAAAAACTTGATTATAAAATTGGTCGGAACGAATGATTTGATACAATAAAAAAAAGGGAACAATGATTTCTAAACGCTTTGAGATCTGGAAACGTAACTTTACAGTACCTGTATTATTTGGAAAATCTCTGGAGATGAACTTTGAATTAGAAATCTGTGAATGATTTAACTCACTACTTAACTCACTATTCACAACAGAGACAAAAGAGTGATTTACACAGTGGGAAGGCCTGCACTGGTGGAAATAAAAATTCAGTCTGAGTCTGTGTCAGAGTCGGAAAATGAACTGACTAGAAAACTATTCTCCAGAGAGTCCCATTATTTAATATTTATTATCTAAGATTGTGTATTCTTATTATTTAATATTTATTGTTTTAAAATTTTATCTCAGAAGGTTTCGTTATTTTTACTTGAATTTTATTATTTTCAAATTATTTAAACCTTATCTTACTGAGTAATTTTTAGAATTCTTGAATAAACGAAAACCAATGGAAATGATAAATTTTTAACATCTGGAAAACTTTTAGCCTAAGTACACAAGATGGTAAAGATATTTTTCCCTTATCCTTTTACATAAGGCCCTATTCATTTTATTTTTATGGCTTTGTTTTGAGATAAAAGTAAAACTAAAATTTAATAATATATTTTTTTTTCTTTTAGTATTTTTCTGGGAAAAATATCTTAGTCTTGTGTATGTCTTCACTTTAATGACCCTGGCGTCACTAAAGCGATTATTTTAGGTACTATTTAATATATAAAAAAAAAATATCATATTTTATTTCTAAGGTCGCGCAAACAAAATTATAGTCATTGAAATATGATTTATTTTTAAATAATTTCAAAGTTTCTCAAGACGTAACAAAATACTGCTCCAAGTGTATTAGTTGCATTTACCACATTTTTTTTTCGTGTTATTTTTCCTATAACATTTCTCAGACATTAATTAGAACTGAAGAACACAACAAAGATAAAAAAAATAATGTACTTTAAATCAGTTCATCTAAATACAAATTTATCAAAGCACTATTGGTAAGACTGCTGTGTTCAAGTATCGCGAAAGTTTCCAGCATTTCAGTAGTATTCCTTCCTTGAGGTTTTATAATACGTCTAAGATCTTTGTCCAAAAAACTTTTCATCCGCTCTTCGAGTGTCTGATTACGTGTTGCTGATAATATTTCACCCTTGAAAAGAGTATCATTATGTAATATTGATTCTTTCAAGTATGTATCAGCTTCATGAGGGAATATCAACATCTAAAAAAAAAATCCAAAAACAATTTAATTAAAACCTTCGTCAATAAAATGATAAAATAAAAAATTACCTGGGACAGGCATTCGCCTTTTTCGGCACCAGTTGCGAAATGCGTTTCATCGCCCTTCGAGAACCACAATATGATATTTTTTTCCTCAAAAATATTATATTTAATGTTATTTTTTGAATTTTCGTTCAATTTAATCACTACTGTTGACAAAAATTCCAACTTTTGGTTCTTAAATCCTGAGCAAACAGTTATTTTCAAACACGTCGTTTTTGGATTAATTTTCTTTGGATTAATTCCGTAATTTTGACGTTTCAAAATTTCCTTAAAAACATTAAGTTTTCCATTTTCTAGTTTTGGAGCCTCATTTTCGGTGTACGTACAGCAATTTGAGTAACTGTATCTAATGAATGATGGAGTAAATCCGTTATTTGTGTTCATTAAAAAATTTTTACTAGTTACAAGTCCCGATCTACTAATAAGTAATTCATCAAGATTGAATACATCACCGGGGGTAATATGATCCCTTTTTTTTAAACCAGTTAATGACAGTGAGATTTTTTGTCTCTGAGATTCTGACACAGCCGGCAATTCGGGCAATGGCCGTAATATTAAACTCACTATATCCTCGTTTTTAAGTATACTCAGAATTTTGTTTGTATGAACATGTTCTACATTTGAAAATGTGAACAAAGAATAGTCGAGATTATTCAAAAAATAGTATTCGTTAATCGTCTCTTCAAGTTTACGATCAACATCAGTAGTTGTGATCGAACTTCTGTAGATTGGAGTTCTAAAGAAATCAGCTGTTTTACCTGGATCATTTAGGTCGATATCTTTACACTTTATTGCATCATTTATGGTAATCTACAATTTTTAAAAAATCATGAAATGAATAGCATTTTGATTAAATCAAAATGAGTATTTCTTACCTGAAGAAGACAAGTTCCAGTAGAAACAGATGAAACATAATGAGTTTCATTATCCCGTTTCAATCGAAAAACAACAGTTTCGTTCATCCAAATACTATAGAGCCCATCATTAGCAACTTCCAAAAAATAATCATCATCCATCAGTTTGATATTCAAACTATGCACTTCAATAGTCTTGCAAATTTTAACAATCCCATATCTGAAGTTCCAGTCACTAACATAATGTTGATTAATACCCAAGTATTCATCCCTTCGTTGAAGCAAATGATGAAACAATTTTGATGATGTGTAATTGGATAGTTCTTTCTCGATAAAAACTTTTGGATAAAAATGAGTCTTCAGAGATTCGAAAAGCATACACGTTTCATAAAACATTTTATAATTGTATTCATCGTTATATTGTTTCTTAATAAAGCGTGATCCGTTAAACCCGTTGAAAATATCACTGATTATTACATCGCTCGAAAATTTTTTGGACAAATTAATCGTAACACCTACCCGCAAGTTTCCTATCCCCTTCGCATTTGTAATATCTATCAATGCGATAATTAAAATTCTAACAATTCCGTTCATTGCTGCGTTTGAATTGTAACTGTGATTAACTTGTTTTTCAAAATAATAAGCCTTAGTTCTTGTTATTGATGAGAAACCTTAGTTTTATCTATTATACGTCTTTAATTAATAGATAAGTTCGTGGCAGCATATTAGTTTCAATGCCATTAATTAAGGCTGTAGAATTTTGTCCAATTAATCTTAACGATCAATCGCTCGTTTTACTAAGCTTGAATTGAATTTTTAACTTCCCGCTGAGAAAATTGAAAATTTTCAAAAATCGGAAAGTTATTAGTTTTACCTCATTTTTCGAAAATCGAGTTCTCATCGGATCTCGACGCTTTGAGGTCCTAGGAAGCTTCCCCAAATGTTTCCGCGATGATGTCCGTATGTCTGTATGTATGTATACAAACATGCGCGCGCGCGCGTGTGTGTGTGTGTGTTTTTTTTTTCCCCTTTAGGGGGGGGGGAATCCTTTTTACGGATTCTAGGCATAGATGTTGGCCCGGATATGTGGCGACTCGACGCAGCGTCATACTAAAACTCGACGCTGACGCCCCTACCCACTAAACCCTAAACCCCTTTCCTCTTTCCTCTAATCCCTCATGGAAACCGCCGTCAGGCATTACTTCGTGA